TAATAGAAAGAAGAAAAACATACATATTTTTCTTCAAACTTCCTAGCAAGAGCCTCCACTTTATGCCTTTCCTTTTCGTCATCATTAAAGGGATCAGCAGCATCTTTCTTCTGTAGAAAGAAAAGAGATAAAACCATCAGAATCCGTGCTGTCATGAGGCCACCAAAACCCCGTGCATTGAACCCATCACGACCAGCACATCCAGGCAGAAGCTCAGGCAAATCGACCTTTGGCACAGTATTCTGAGAGTGTCTCTGGGGTTTGGGTGCTCTCTCAGGTCCTCCTGTACCTGTCTCTGCTTCTCCCGACTCTCAAAACAAAAAAACCCCAGCACGAACCGCCAACTGACTGCTAAACAGTTCTGAAGAGCAACAGTAAAAACGAGTAGAACCCAATCAACTTTCTTTTCATAGAAAAACACCCAGAAGACAAAGTGCAGATGCTCCCCAAGTCTGCGTGCCGCCGTATCCTGAGAAACGGCTTTCAGCAGGCAAACAGAACGGTCAGGCAGCGCCTGGGAGCACCACACTCACCGCGCAGGAAGAGGCGCCACGGACTGCCGTGGAAATATTCACGTGCAGTAGAGCAGGGCCCCCAAAAAGCTACAGCCACAGATCGCAGAAGCAAGCCAGGTACCAAAAAAATCACTTTCCATCAAGCAATTCCAAGCTAAATGAGCGTTGTTCCCCACAGCCCACGCAGACACTTACCTTGTCTCCTGAAGAACCCCCTTTTACTTTGCCTCGACAGCTCTTCAGAAGATCTGGGTAGAAAAATTCTGGACAACGTTTGTGATCCGGCTCGAAGAGAGTGAGCGTGATTCGAACAGCCGTTGCCGCCGGTTCAGAGTCCTGGGGCTGCTCTCCATCCTCTTTCCGAGACCTCTTCAAGAAGCTGCTGCTCAGCGGGCCGTGGAGAGTGGTGAACGAAACCCTGTGGGGCTCCGTCATGGCTATGGCCAAGTCTTACCAGTCCTCATGGCACAGTTCCGGCCGCATCAGGAAAGGGCTGCAGAGACGTGGGTTTCACCGGCCGGTTAAGGAACGCTGAGGACGTTGGAAGTGGAACAAGTCGTTTGATTTTGAAGTTTGGTTGGGAAATGGCAAACACCCGTGCTGCTCGCGCTTGCTACGATCACGAAAGAGAAAGAAAGGGGGAGAGTGGTCAGGCCCCGCACCAGAACCCCCTCCAACCTGGCAGCCCCCCGCACTGCACCTCCTGCCCGCCCCCAGCCTCCGCCTTAACACCGCACCGCTCCGTGGGCAACGGCGGGCGGAAACGCAGTTACCCAGG